CCAAGCTAATTAATCAACTTCAACACAAGAATATTCTCATGAAAAAGAAGAATTATAAGCAGCCAGACTTTGCTGATGAAGTCGGCTTAGACACCTTACAAATGACACTTTAAGTGATAAGGGTCGGGTGGAATCTAAAAGAAACGAATATTAGCTCAAGGTATGTAGTTAACCACAATAATTTACAGAAAAACTAAGTAAAATTAATTAGAGATATAACTGGCCAACAAATAGAGAAAGATAATTTCTGGATTTGCTAAAATGAATAGAAAGAGAAATTATCATATTCATACTCGTATTTAACTCGATTGGTTAGCGCATGATTTATTTCTTAAAGAATAAAGTCGAACTCCCTTATCAAATATTATATATATACATAAAAAAAAAAAGTAGAATTTTATTACAAGTCTTCATCGTACGGTGCAATTTTAATTTAATTAATTAGTTTCTCCAAGCTAAATGATGAATATCGTTGTATATTTACACAAGTAAAATGCATTAGATCTGGACATTGTTTTAAGTTTTTTATACCTACAAATCCTCCAAGCAATTAACCAAGAATCTATCAAGCTTCGGTTAGAATCTAAATTTTGAACAATATGACTCAAAGCGTTGAGCTTTTGAAGGCAACATGACTTAAACTTCCTTTTCGAAGAAGTAGATAGTCAATTTGGAATCCCCAAAGGACTCGATTTTAGAATTTGATTAAAACTTTTCAGGTTGGCTCTTGCATCTGCTTTTTATCAAAATCTTCACTCTTTTTCACTTTGCCGGCACCCTTTTCCTCTTGTGTCATAATTTTCTAGCTTGGATTCTACATAGTTAAGCCTTTTTTTTTTCCTTTGGAAGTTTCAACAAAAACAATCCAAAGAGATCATATGAATTTGCATGATTTAAATGTGAAAGCCAAATTCCTACCCACCCACCTTTCCATCACCAATGTAATGGTCAAATCCTATAGTGTTCAAAGCAAAATTTAGCACAAAGATCGAATTCGAACACTTTGACAGTGACATGGATACATTCATGTGATTATCTATAGTTCAAAACAGGTCTTAACCGGCCGCCGCATTCAAGGTCTGCTTATCTTCTCCTGCCTTCCCAATACTAGTGGAGAAAATACGTGCCCCACACTTTCTTTCGGCTATGCTTCAATAGCTCATTCACTAAATGTGAATACCTTTACGTGAAAAAGGAAGATTCGAACTCAATTTTTTTTAAGAGAAAAATAAATACATTTATTATTAAAACAAATGTTCGGGCGTATAAAATGATTTTTATATATTAATGAAATTTAATGTCATTTTAAATATGACAGGTTTTTTAATACGATAATTTTATCCATAGTTACAAAATGTTATTTTTAATATTTTATTTTATTTTTTAGTATAACAATGTGTTAAATAAAAACCCTTAGTAATATTAAGTTACATGAAGTTGTTTCTGAGGTCATTTGGCTAAATTTTCATTCCAGCACACCTAATTGCACTACTATTGTAGAGGAGGGTTGAGATAATCAAAGGTATTGCTAGGAAGAGATATATCTTTAATTTGTAAACAAAATTTTTCAGGTCATAGATAAGAAATTACATATGAAGAATCAAGATTATGTATCTTTTTATAAAATCAAAGAGAATTTCTTTTGTTTTTTCTCCTTTAAAAGTATAAAATCAAAGAGAATTGAATCAACAATAGCATAGAACGGAAGATGAGGTGAACAAGATATACACAAATCCATTTCATAAGTATAAGGATAAGATGATGAAAAGCAGAAGAGGAATATGATGTCATAGAATATTTAGTTGCTCAAGAAAAAAAGCTTATGCTAGCTATAGCTAGAATCGATTATATGCTTTTCAAAGTAGATTTCCAATATATTACAACGTCCTTGAATTTTATAGAATGTTCCAATACTTCAAAGTTACTTTACCTATTTTACGTATCTTCACTCCTAATTGTTCAAATTAATGGATATATATGAGTTAGATATATATATATATATATATATATATATACATACAATAGTTAATTGATCCGATTCCCTTTCGAATCCATTAGGGAAAATACAAGTAAATTACATCAGATATCCATGACCTTTATATAATATTTCATTTTCGTTCATTACTTTTAAAACATATATGTTAGGTAAATCATACTCAACCGATGCTTAGAATTCTAAAGTGACTCATTGAAACTACCCATTTTGAGCAGTAGTAGTGTTTTTCTTGCGTAATAAGTAATATAATATACCATGTTAATCCTAAGGCAACTATATTATGATCTACTTGTCATCTAAACATATATAATTCAATCATCGATGACGATACCTTCCACCATTAAATGTGGGCATATTTGAGTATACTTTGACAAGTTTTGGTACATATGTTGACGATTGAATTTAGTAGACACTAGACATGTATGCATACTTAACATTCTACAAATGCTGTCTTAATCAACAATCTGTTTCCATGCGGATAAGGGGCGCTGATGTGTGATTCTATCCACACCAATTTTATCCAATACCTACAGACAATTCTTATTCAAACCCTACCTTAAACTTTCTGAAATTCAATACAAAAATGATTTAGTACTTGAACTTACTGCCATTTTGCCTGCAAAAATATAATGTTTATTTATCTTTACATCAATTGTAAGTATATGTTTTGGGATAGCACTTATGCCAACTTTTATGTGTGGCGGATAAGATTGTGTTGTTCTGACTCTTCCATTCTATATATATATAGAAGTTTGACTTTCCAAATATATATATATAATAAATTTAAAAAGAAATTGAATTTAACCAAATGAAAGACGTATTTGGATCTAACACTTAACTTAATTTTGAGTATATAGGTTTTAGATACAATTACGTAAAATTCGACGTGTCAAGATATGTGGACAAAAGAATTTGGTACCAAAAATGTAAATATTTTGAAGTAGACAGAACTTAGTGGAATATGCAAGCGTGCGGCTAGCGAAAGGCCAAAACAAACCACAAATATAAGATTAAAGAAGTTATACTTTCCATATTCATGCGCAAGGACAACTTTCAAATTCCCTCTATTGGAAAAACAGGCTTAAGAACAGACGAAAGGCAATATGAGCTGATGATCAAAGGTTGTATTGTCTTCATGAGCTTTTGAGTCAATTCTGTCATAATGTTAATAATTAAAGATAAGCACAAGAGAACAAGAATGACTAGATTTTCTAGTTGCCACACCAAAACAGCGGCTTTCGGCTGTTTGTGAAGGGAAAGAACACCAACTTTGCTACGCAAAAAAGGATTGGAAATGAAACATATCATGCTTTTATTGTCTAAGTTAATGGAGATGACTCAAGAAAGCAGAAAATTAGCTTTGTTTTGGAGAGAAGCCAAACCATTTTCTGTCAAATTTGATCTAATTATACGTCGAAGTTCCAATATCAATGTATCTTATATTGAAGAATTAAGGACTTTTTGTGATAATGTCATTTCAATCTTGTCTTGTCCCACTGTTAAACACAGGTTTCTCCTTCACTATATAAGATGATTGTTACTTTAACTTGCTTCATCAAGGTTGGCAAGTTTATGGATCGATCACTTACTTCTTTTCTCATTGTTAAAAGAGTAAACTATGGCCACTGCTTCAAACACTAGGTTGGTGCTGCTGTTCATGATCATGCTATTGATGCTTGTAATGAGAAACTCTGAGGCAAGGTCTTCTCATGGTACCCTATCTATGGCGAACAAGATCAATAGCAGCAGTATCTTGCAGAAGCTTGGTTATGATTTATCGAAAATTAACTACTACAGAAGGATGCTGGGAGATGATCCTGATAGGGTCTCGCCCGGAGGACCAGATCCTCAACATCACTAATAGTTATCAGCTTTGAGGTAGATGTCAGGAATTGCAGAATGTTGTCTAGGTTCTTTTCCCAAGAGAGGATAGTTTAAATTCTTTGCTCATTTGGATATGAACGTAGCATGAAGAATAAGTTCATTCCTCGGGTAGTTCGGGAAGGTGGTTTTTTGAGACTTATTGGGTTTCAAGTTTGAGCTGCAGAAATTTTCCTTGTGTACCAAAAATAATAACAGCAAGCTCATCCTTCTCAAGGATGCTTGTATGCTTGCATTTCGAGTCTGGGTCAAATAAGGCTTTTAATTCTCTTTCTGTCTCTCTTTTGGTGTAAGCAGTATGTGCTGACTGCCTGCATGTGAGCAGCCAGCTCTGTACCTTTGATTAATGTAAGCTCTATGAGATTTTCTTTTTCTTCTTAAAACCTGAATTGTAACATATACAAATTTCTGTAAGTACTCTGACAGCAATCAGCAGCCAATAGCACACAATCTTCTATATGATTATTTTCATCATATGATCTTCATAAAAAATAGAGCTGCAGTAGTTGTAGATATATCAGACAATATGTATTTTTTAATTGAGAAAGCGAAATTTCGGATTAGGTAGGCAAATGTCATCTGAAATATACGTTGCTTTCAGAATTGCGAATCTACGTAGCATGATCATCCGAGAGCCTCCCATCCAATAAGTATAAGTTGTTGAATTTAGATTCTTTGGCCACTAACTGCCAAAACGGTCTTCAATCTATCTGCAATTGATCATAAAGAATTGAAGATGTCTCACAAGAATGAGATCTAGTTTTTCATTGAACCAGCTTAATGTTACAAAGGTAGCAGATTGATACTTCTTACTGCTGATTGCTTTCAGTTTTCAGTTTAGATTCATACAGGTTTTCAGTTTCTGTGGCAGCTTGGACATGTCACTGCCTAGGTTAGAGAAAGGAAAGCTTTGATGAAGATAAGAGGAAATTAAGCACTAATCAAATGCTAGTCTAATCTATCCAATTAATGATAGAATCAAAGAAAGAATCAAGCTTGAAGTTCAGCTAGAAATTGATCCATGAGAAATTATCTGTGGATAATCCATTATATTTCTGAAATGATTCTGTAAAGATACAGAGAGACGTTAACTGAAATTTAGATAAGGGTACAGTATTGGAGTACAAGCATATAAATAAATCCAGATTCTATAGTATATTAAATCTTCATATACCAACAGCAATTTGAGAAAAATAAAAAGGTTAAGAAAAAAATGTTTCTAACAATCTGTGGGAAGAGGGTACTGACAGAATCTTCCATTCTTCATGCAGAGAAAGAACCTTTCATAAGCTGATGCCATTTTACTAGCTGTAAACATTGAAAGTGCATATTCCCTGCAAGCAAAGCCCTTTCTGTGCAACACTTTAGGCCCATCTCTTATAACTGATTTCAAGGCTTCAACAAAGGACTCTACATTGGGTGAGAAAGTGTATCCAAAACTTTCATTGACGACTACTGTCCCAACTATAATAGGATAATTGGGGGTCAAAACTGGTTTCCCACAGTGCATTGCTTCGATCAAGGTAAGATCGAGCCCTTGAGGCCTCAACGTTGGGTTCACAAACATATCGAGGGCATTGTAGAATTCGGACAGCTCTGAAGGCTCCAATGCGCCTAAAACCTTCACATTTGGGCCTAATTCTGCATACCTTTTTCCCCATGGACCAGATCCTGCTACAAGGAGATATGTACCAGCATATCTTTTGGTTATATTTGAGAAGGCTTCATAGAGAAGTGGATGCCCTTTGTCTCTAACTAAACGCCCGGCAACTCCCAACACTAGGCTTACGTTTTCAGGAATTCCATGCTTTTCCCTGAACCTTGCACTGGCTTTTGGATCATGAACAAATTTGGTCTCATCAACTCCGTTTAGTATAACATGGACATTTCTTTGAGAGAGCTGATAGATGTTGACCAGCACGTCACCAGCACTCTTGCTTATACATATATGTTGTGTATAGCTTGGAAAGAACCTGATCTCATCCACTAGTCTTGGCATTGCTTCCTGAAGCTCTCCAACTGGTTTTGGCATAGCCTCTTGTGCATTAAAAACAAGCTCTTCAAATAACTTTGAATGCATAATTTCATACCAGATCCCATGCCAAGTTACAGCCACATGAGGCACCATTTTCGCACGCCAATGAGGCAGGGAAACACTCTCAGTATGCACATAATCAAATGCTCCATTGGCGTTTATTGTGTTAAATATCTCAAATACTAAAGAACAATTTACTGAACCATGATCATTGGCTGCAAAATATACATGTAGGTTACCGTCATGGATGTCAAGGTGGGGCTTTCTATCAGAAGGCACGGTGAAAACATGAATTTCATGCCCCATAGCAGTTAAAGCATGGTATAATGTAGCAGCATGACGCTCCATGCCACCAGGGGCCGCACCAATTGGCCATGTCTTGGAGAATACTGCAAGCTTAAGCTTCTCAAAATTATTTCCAAAACAAAGACTGTTCCAGGGAAATTTAGCATCTCTAAGGTCACCATTGAATCTTGCTTGCCTTGCTACCCAAGAGAATGGTTCAGGCACTTGCCTAATCGGCGAAATGAAGAGCTAAACTGTAGTAAAGAGGATAGCGATAGTTAAAATGGTTGAGGATCTGATAGAGAAGCAACCAGAAGAAGAAGAAGAAGAAAAGGATCTGCAGTTTTGATGTCTCAAACCCATTGCAGCCAGTAGCTTGAAAAGAAGTTTCAATTTCGTTATTTTATCAATTTGAATATAGTACAATTCTGAATGATATTAATGCAATGTACCAATTCTACAGGATCTCTCCTGGCTTTTGCAAGTTTTCATGGGGATGCACATGGCCAAACTTGAGATTTTATCAACTCCCTCCCAGCATTAATTTCAAAGCTTCAATTGCTAAAGTGAAGTCTACTTCTGAATTAGTTTGCTTATTTTAATGCCAAAAGTCCACATTGCAATTTTCCAAGGTCAAGAGGGGACAAATTCTCAATTTAAAGGTTCGTCTGGGAGTTCGTTGCCTGGAACTCCCAAATGGATCGTAACGTTAGCCGTTTTCTTCTTTTGATTTTATCAGACTTTCTGTTATCCAATACATAAATTAGTGATCTGCACTTTGTTCCAAGTGATAAAAAATTCAATTTTTTAAAAATAAAATTTTATTTTTGAATCTTATAAATAAAAAAACAAATTTAAAAAAATTTAATTCTTTTATAAAATTCGATACGATTCAATTTTGAATTAATCGAAATTTAAAGTAATTATCGAACATTCAAAAATTTAAAAAAAAAAAATAATATTTACTCACGTTTAGCTTAAATTTGTAATGAATTTCTCAATTGCATGTATACCTTATGAAATAGTAACTCAGTTGTGTAAGGAAAATTCTAATTTTTAATTTCATTGTCAGAATTAATAAGGTAATAACACTCCTTGAGATATAATAACAAATTAAAAAAAAAAAAAGAAATGGGACAAATTATCGTCTTTTAATTTTATTTTTAAAATTAAAAATTTTATTGTGTATTAAAAATGGATTTTTTTACCTTATTTTTGTATTTTAGAAGGTATAAGATTAAGAACTATCAAATTTTAAAAAATTTTATTCATGTAAGATTTAAGAGAAGCCTTTATTCAGTACAAAATTAAAAAAATAGAAAAATTAATAAAAAAAAGTTACTCACACAAACTCATCGGCAATTTTCTTACAAAAAAAAGTAACCAAATTATGGCAAAAAAAATTATTAGCTAAATTGTATTCAGGTCCCATCTGACATGGCAATACCGTAAACATTCGTGCCCTTTTCCCTCACTCGCTCTCTTCAGCGTGTGCACTGTCTCATCTCTCAGGCTCTCACTCTTTCTCGAGACCCCCTCTCTTCTCCACTCTGAGAACAACCAAAGCAGAAAGAAAGAAAGAAATCGTACGGACCCAATCCTCCAAAACCCAAAACCCTAATTATTAATTTTCTTTGCCTCTTTCAAAAAGCTAAAAAGAATTTACCTTTTCTCCTTCCCTCTCAAAAACCCAAATCTTTCCGTACAACCCAACATAAACCCTAAAAACCCATTTTTAAGCCTTTAGCCTAGCTGTGTGTTTCTCAAATTAGGGTTTTCCCCTTTTTTTTCTTCAAAATTCTGATCTTGTTCGGGTTTTTTCTCTCTTTTTTTTTTTTTATATGAATGGCTACAGGGAATATAGAAGGTGAAGAATCAAAGAACAACAAAGTTTATACCAGGAAAAACCATAACAAACCCAAAAATCCCACCTTTGTTCCTCAACAATCTACTCATCTGACTCTAGCTACCACCACTACAACCGATGATAACAACTCCTCTCAGCCTCTGCTACACCAAACCTTCGACGTCGTGGCATCGGACGATTCGTCGAGCCATAATCGGTTGCAGCAGGGTGCCCAGAATGCTACCAATGGGATTGGAAAAGCTGGGTATGTTAAATATGATAACCTTGTTAAGATTAACTTGAATGTTTTATCCAAGAATGAGGTTAGACTTTTGAAGAGGAAGCTAGCTACTGAACTTGAGCAAGTTAGGGGTTTAGTTAAGAGATTTGAAGTTAAAGAAAGTAGGTTGAGTGGGGGGTATGCGAATTCACGGGTTTCAGGGAATGAGAATGTTGATAGAGGTGGTGTAAGCTTAGTTAGAGTGAATTCTGATGTTGGTTCTGTAGGATTGCCTAGTTCAAGGTCTTTTCATGGATTATCTGTGTCAGTAGTAGAACATGATCATAGTAACCATGGTGATGGTGGTGGTGGTAGTGAGTTTGTGGAGAAGGAGAAGAGAACCCCAAAGGCAAATCAGTATTATAAGAATTCGGAGTTCGTTTCGGGAAAGGAGAAGTTGAAGCCTACGGAGAGTAATAAGAAAATGAAACCGAAAGTTGGGAAGAGTAATGGGGGTCAAATGGGAGGTGGGATTTCAACAGAGAAGTTTTCAAATCAGTTATTTAAGAGTTGTAGTGATTTGTTAGGTAAGTTAATGAAGCATAAGTTTGGTTGGGTGTTTAATAAACCAGTGGATGTGAAGGGACTTGGGCTGCATGATTATTATTCAATTGTTAAGCATCCTATGGATTTGGGTACAGTGAAGAGTAGGTTGAGCAAGAATTGGTACAAGTCACCTAGGGAGTTTGCGGAGGATGTGAGACTAACTTTCAGTAATGCAATGCTGTATAACCCGAAAGGACAGGATGTGCACTTTATGGCTGATACATTGTCAGGGATATTTGAAGAAAACTGGGCAGGTATAGAGTCTGATTATAATCTTAATAGGCGGCTTGAAAGGAATCATGAATACAGTTTGCCGACTCCAACTTCAAGGAGAATTCCTGCTCCAGCGCCGGCTCCAGTTCAAGCTCATGCTCTACCTACGCCTGCTTCTGCTCCTGCTCCTTCACCACTACCATTTGAAGCTAGGACTCTGGAGAGATCAGAATCCATGACAATGACTGTTGATCCCAAGTCAAGAGCTGTGGACTTGACTCCTACAGGTAGGATTGCAGTACCAAAGAAACCCAAGGCAAAGGATCCTGATAAGAGGGATATGACTTACGAGGAGAAGCAAAGACTCAGTGTAAACCTCCAGAACTTGCCTTCAGAGAAACTTGATAGCATTGTCCAGATCATTAAGAAGAGGAATCCAGCACTCTTCCAGCAAGAAGATGAGATTGAGGTGGATATTGACAGTGTTGATCCTGAAACGCTTTGGGAACTTGATAGATTTGTGACCAACTATAAGAAGAGTTTGAGCAAAAACAAGAAAAAAGCTGAAATTGCTCATCAAGCAAATGCAGAAGCTGACCATAATATTCACAAGACTGTAAGATGATGGACAAGTGATACTTGAACATCTAACTGTTTTGCCTGTTTAAAATTGTTGTTCACTGGAACATTTTGTTGTTATTCTTTTGGCAGATTCTGGAACCACTTGCTGAAGACGTAATGAAAGTAGCTGAAACAGGTAATCACTATGAACCAACAATAACTTGCTCTGCTTTGGTTATTCTCACTTGTTTGGTTCTGAAGAAGGTGAAATTTTCATGCACTCATTATTAAAACTGGTTGGATTGTTAAGCAGTGGAGAAGATTGTTCCCACATCACCTCCAATTCATGGAGAAAGGCTACAAAATAATGAGAGTGGATCAAGTAGTTCAAGCAGTTCTAGCAGTGACTCTGGCTCCTCATCAAGCGGTAAACATTATCGGTTTTCCTTTTGTTATGCTCTTATGAGTGTTTGTATGCCAGATTTTTCACGCTAATACTTTCATGCAGACTCTGACAGTGATGGTTCTTCTGGATAATGTGAACTGTTCACCTTGTTTTTTAATGGACTTGACTGAGGTAGGGGTCATTATCTTGGTAATGAACTTTTTCAATCCTTATTTCACACTTAAGTTGTGCAAATTTTTTATGGTACTAGTATTGAATTTCATGTGAAATATATATCAAGAGATGAGATTACATAGTTTCTGAAATATCCATCTGAGATGCCACTTCTTATTCCTTCTTCTTTGCTTCTTTATAGAGCCTATAATGGCTGATTTTATTCGAAAGAGGCAAAAAGGAGCTCTAAGGTAGTTTTTTATCAGCACAAGTTTTGAAATTGGACCATATCATGAACCTGTCAGAGATGCTTGGATAGCATTTTGGAACTTTTGGGGTCAAATGTACAACTGTTGTTGCATTCTGCTAATGGATGATATGCATCATTTGAAGTTTTTTCCTTCTTTTTCCCCAGCTTACCCGTTACTAATTTTCCATTCTAATATTTCTTAAGTCTTTAGTTGTGTGTAAATTAACGGTTTCACTATGAGTTTTTGAATTCTTTTGCATGCAAATACTACTCCTTGATGGATTTCTCACAGAAGGTTGTAATTTTCAAAATAACTTTTATGAACAAAACCCGCAGAGAACTTGTCATTTGTTAGCCAATTCCTTTCATCGACATTATGTTTGTTAATTCTGAAGTTTTGCAGCTGTCAACTTCGTTGAGTATTTAGCTCTTTCTGAGTGGGAAAATACAGTTTCCATTAGTTTCCAAAGATTAATTCACCCAAGGTCAATGGAAGCTGTAGCCCAAAGGGATTTAAATATTAGTCTCCTTCCTCTTTATGTTTTTTAGTGGAGCCCACCTGTATCATCATTCCGCATGTTATGTGGAGTATAATTTAATTAACTGAATAAATATAATTGCATTGCAGTTTGGAAAGGGAATCATTCATGTATCCTTGATAATATTCTTGGCCACCGTCTTAAGAACTAGGAAATATTAGTTACTTATTGCCTGTAACAGATTTCGACTTCAGATCTTTATATCTGTTGCTGACAACGTTTCATCCGAATTCATTTCTATCATCCATCACGTAATCGCCTACATCACCAAGATCTTTACCATGACTGTATGAGAACTCTATATATTTGACATGAATCTTTTGTTTTAACTATGGTTTGCATTCTTCTTTAGTTTGATATTCCCCCATGCATAACAGAGTATTAAATCGGGCTTAACCTACATTCTCTCTGGTTATGATACGTTTATCTTGGTAGAACTATAAATGATGATTTTTTATTCCCTTTATAGGTGTCAGTATATGTATCATAAGAGTATTGTGATTTCTCTGCTTTTGAGACTAGGCTCGAGTTAATGATTTTCTTGTTGCTTTTGTAGATCTTAAGATGGAAGCTGGCTCAAGATCATTACCAAGTATCAACCAACAATTTTTAAAATGTGGTCCTGCTTAGCATTTCAAGAGGAACCATCGAACTGCATAACAAAGTCCCTTTTATTCTAACCTTTTAATAGGGATATGAATATGATAGAATGACATGCAACACAAATTTTTGTCTAATTGAATTGCTAAACTGGTTCTTTCAGTTACATCATGCAAATCTGATCTAATGGTAATGGTTTTTTTGAACCAAATTATCAAATTTTAATACAAGGAATAAACATAATTATGGTATGAAAGTTTTCTGTAGTTCATGGTTCCATGCTTTATCAGCTGCTTATCTTTTTCTTTTCGTGGTCCACTCGTTGGAGGCGTTTAATATTAAAACAAACACAGTTGAAAAGAAAATTTTCTGATGTAAATTTTTTTAGATGAATTATCAACTTGTCTTACATCAAACACGTTAAGCCAACCAGATTGAGAATAAAGTTCAAGAATGAGTGAATCATTTGCAATTAGCAGTTCCAAGTATCCCCTTATAACTGAATAAAGTTTTAACCAAACATTCCGGTGACATGCCACTTGAAATATCCTGTAAACTTATGATATCCTATTAACTTATGATATCCTATTAATACCAGATGCAAAATTTTCATTAGTAAATAAGAAATAATTTTAATTAATTCTGGTTGACGAACTTAGTTTCCTTCTCTATAAATGCTTTCAGTTCTGGCTTAAGCCTCTTCAAGACATTAGAAAAAGTTCTAACCAAACATTCCTGTAACATACCACTGGAAATTATTGCTGGAAACTTACGGTATACCATTAAGAACAGCAAAGTCGATGCTGGCTACAAAATTTTAATTGGTCTAATGGAATAAATCAGAAATAATTTCAATTAATTCTGGTTGTCGAACTCGGTCACCTCATCTATAAATGCTTTCAGTTCTGGCTTAAGAGTCTCCAAGCTTTCGGTCTTTGACTGAAAAAAGTTTTAAACAAACATTCCTGTAACATACCACTGGGAATTATTGCTGGAAACTTCTGATATCCTATTAAAAACAGTAAAGCTGATGGACCCAACCCCAAAACTTCCTCCACACCATTCTTTCCAAGCCTTAGCTGCAGTCAGATAGAGTTTACGTTACAATAATCCAAATCAATCAAGCCTTAATTACAAACAAGTTTGGCAAATTTGACAGCAAAACTGTAGGGAACACTGCTAGGGCTCGGTTTAAAGTATAGGGTGAGGAAGGTTTAGAGAGATCATAAATCCAACTGGTACTCTCCTTTCACACATTAACAAAGTGGAGCACAAGTAGCGTCGCTCAAATTCAAAAGCAAAGACGGGATGAGCTTAGGGGATGTCAAAGCCTTTTGAATAAATCAACAAGGGAACAATCACCTTAGAAGCAAAGCAAGGAAGTTCAGTGACAGTTGACTGCACAAATGAACATTCGATGACATCAGGTACGCCATTCAGTCCCTTAAGTCAAGTATCAGCAAAAATGGCTCCAGCATAGCTGCAGCAAAGAAACAAGACAACTTAGTCAGGCTAAAATGAAGCAACTAAAATCATATGCTTCGATTTCATGACTATACATTTGCAAGGAAATCAAAACTCGTAAATGAAGAAAGGATAATTAATACTAACGCCATTGATTATGTTGCTGAACCCTTTTCAACCTTTGCTTCCAAACTTCAGTGCCTCCATCTTGAGCTCACTTTGTGAGAGCCTTGATATCTTCTTCACCCAAATTAGCTTTTGGTGTGGCCTAAAAAATTTTTAAATGCAACTAAAAATTATCAAAAACAATTATCAACAAAAACTGAAAGGAGCACAACACTATCAAGTATTGATACATTTTGATATCATATAAAGTCAAATGATTAAAGGAAAAAGGGATAAGAGAAACAGGGAAGTACTTGAGAAAATAGTGGGAGAATGGTTAACAACTGGGACATTAACATCTGCAAGCAAGCAAAGAAACTTAGTCAACCAGCAAGTTACTCATATAATTCAAATTTTCTTATGCTTTGATATGTTTAGGGTGAAAAGACTTTCACGAAGGAGAAAAGAAATCTATTTAAAAATTTCAGTTCTCAACCCTAGAAATCCTCAATAAGCCTTAACTAAAAATTTTGGTTATTCTCGTGAAACATCAGTTTATTTAGGATAGACCAAAACTTCTAGAGGTAGACCATGGGTGCAAGTAATAAGAGATGATATGAAGCTCAAAGAAGTAGATGAAAAGATTGTTTTTGATAAAAATTAGTGGTGCAAGAAGATTCAAAACTACAACCTAACATAATTCCTTCTTTTGGTCTTTCACCTAGAGTATGGGATATAAGCCTTAGTTTGTTGTTGTTGTTCTTGAAACAACAGTTTCAAAAAAGAGAGCGTGGGGAGAGGTGAACTAGTTTTTTTTCAAACAAACCTGCAACATTTACTTGTGCCCTGGCAGCGTAGAAAGTCTTAGCCCTAACTACATCAAAGGTAGTTACACCAAACAATTTTCTCTATCATAAGTCCCTTCAACAGTTATCCCACTTTGGAAAAATAGGCTTTAACAGTCATATAGAAATTGAACCAATCTATTAAATTCCTAAAAGGATCAAGGATCCCTAATCCCTCCAAAGCTTTCCCCAATTGCTCTTCACTAGCATATATGGAAACCTGAAGTAAACACAAAAAAAAGATGATTAAGGAACAAGAGATTATCAAATGAATAGCAATAGGAATCACAGCACAAATGCAGATCATAACCCTGAAGAATGAATAATCACGTAGAAAAACAGAGTAAATCAATTAAAGCAAACTAAAGATGGGTATAACATGTATCAAAGACAAATGGACGAATTCATGAATCTATAAACACATAAAAAAAAGCTTAAAAAATAATCAGGTAAGCCAAAAAGATATACATGTATAGATAAATGACATGAAACTAAGACAGCTATGTATCAAGCTCATCTATATAGCACAATCACATGAATTTCCTAAAGATATAAAAATACACAAGTAATGAACATTGAATCAAATACCAATAATCAGTCAAATGGATTTCAGCATGCATCAATAAACATGCAACTGAATCCTAAACTCTAAAATTAAAAGTAAGCCACATACATAATTATTAGATAAAAATCTACAAAAAAAAAAAAAGAAAGAAAATAACCCAACATAAAAGCACAAAAATAAGAAAAAAAAAACCTACATCATAATATCTTAAAATAACGTTTTAACATTAAAAGAAAAAACAAATTAAAGCTAAGAAATACACTTTTTTAAGTCCAAATAAAAAGTCAAGTTCTTTTTATAAGGACCTCGGTTTTGGTGTTGATGTGGCTGACATCAGCTGCAACGCCAGGAGTATTAGCAATATCATAGAGAGCAAGACGTGAAACAAGAGGGTTAAGCTTCATGAGTAGAGCTAAAGGTTGGCCGATCCCTCCAGTTGCACCCAACATCGCGATTTTCCGGTCAGGGACTGATTCGGTGGCATACCCTCGGTGGAGAAGGTGCTTTCCGGCGACCGATCGAGCTACAGATCGAAACATTTTTGCCGAGGGTTGAAACTGAGTAGTCAAATAAGGGGGTTGAAGGCTTGAAGCTAAGTAGTCAAAGAATGACTTTTGGAGTTTGTTTATTAAATTTCTGAAGGAAGAGAAAATGTTTGGAGTTTTGTATTTACGAGTGAAGAGTGGTGAAAAATAAGTGAACTGACTTTTACCATTTTTTACAGTTTCACTGTGGTAGTCAAAGAGTTATTTCATATTTTTGGGTTAAAAAGGTACATTTTTTTACTCTGTCATGGAACCATCTCAAACCCTCAATGAGGCCAGATTATCATTATCTAAAGGTAGTGACAACAATAGTTAAGTGTGACGCGCCGGAACTTAAGTCTAACATGGTCTTAGATTGAAAGTTATTGTTTATGTATTTAAGTCAGTCTCTTTTTTAATTTTGTGTCGAACATTTTTGTGTCGTATATTTCATTGATTATTTAGAAGTTTGAGAAAAAATTTAAAATAATTTAAAATAATTGTATTTTTATTTATTTGATATTATATGTAATTGTTCAATATTCATTAGTTATTTAGGAGTTTGAGAGAAAGTTTGATGCTATATATATAATTGTTTAATATAAATTAATTATTTGGTTATTTAAGAATTTGAGAGACAGCTAGGACAATTGTTTAATATTCATTGGTTATTTAGGAGTTTAAGAGAAAATTAAAAATGAGAGTTAAAGTAATTATATTTTTATTTACTTGATTATATATACAATTATTCAATGTTCTTACATGATTATTATTTGTCACTTTTTATTGCTTATGTACAAAATGACAGGAAGCCTTCCTATTTATATTTGAGCCATCTTGATACTTGTGGTTATAATAAATTCAAGTGTATGATCATTATCGATTTTTTGAACAGTTCTAGAATGTCTAGATAAATCCAAGTGTATGATCATTATCGATTTTTTGAACAGTTCTAGAATGTCTAGACTCCGACAGGATTAGTTAAGATCTTTCTGGAGATACGTTAGTTTCAAATTCCCTGTCGAGCCCTTGAGTTTGAAAAAGCCCGGGCACTTCTGCTAAGTGCCCGTGCTTAATGAGTTTCAGAGCCTTCTCTATTTGGGTGTCACTCTGCCTGCAGTTAGGGTCTTCTAGAGGCTTATTTACCCGTCACCGTGCTCGTGCCTGGGCATTCCAGAACCTTCGGTGACCGCACATCTGGTCTGCCGCATCTCTAGACCCTTCCATGCCCGCTCGCCTGACTTGTCTCCAAACTGTTTTAGGACTTTTTGTGTCTGACTACTCAAGTTACATATTGAGATATTCTAAAACCTTCCAACAAGTAGTCATTATCCTTAACATCGTGCAGCTCACCTCGAATATACTCACCTCGAATATACTCTTACATTTCCACTTTGGCTTTAGCTTCGGCCTACACACTTGATAAAATATGTGCTTTTAAAGTCTTGATTATAATCTTTTTTAATTTTTGGTTCGTATCATCTCGAATAAATCTCGTTACATAATTTTTTTGATCTCGAAATCGTGCGTTATCCATGACATAAGCACAAAATTTTGCTAAATCTTATCTCGATTATAACCTCATTTTATAAAAAATATATTTAATTATGATTCGATTTAATATTAAAATATTATTTTTTATATTCAATTTGCTCTATATATATATATAATTATAATTAACTTGATTCGAAATTAATTTAATAAATTTAATATAATATATATAATATTATTTTTAATATAAATTATATTTTAATTATATATAAATATAATATTTTTATTAAATTATTATCTTAAATTAAAATATTAAATAATAGTTTTATAAATAGAAAATATAAATATAAAATTAAATAAATAATAAAATATTATTATATATATATATATATATATCGGACTAAAATTTAACCTCAACTTTCTCTTACAACATATTGATCCGACTCAACTTAAAAAAAAAAAAAAAAAACTCCATAAAATCAAGTCAGATCAAAACCAAACATATTTGTACCCGTTTGCTATCCCTATTTAAGAGCTTTATCTCATACTAGCAAAAAAAAAACAGGCTTTATCTCATCAGAAAGAAGGAAAAAAAATGCATTGAGAAGTGACGTTAATATAGAAACTGCAGCAAAACCTTATGACATGATATTCACCAGCTACCAGTATGACAAGCAGAAATTTTATGGTACCTGAAAACACAATGAAAGAACAGTTTTTAGGGCTGAAATTAAGAAAATTTTGGCTACCATCTTCCAGCAATAACTTTACGTACTTGATCTGATATTACTACGAGCAATTGGTTCCTGTAATTGCCAAAAAGGAGAAGGCAGAGATAGATAATCTATTGAACTAGGAAATGTGGCTGCCTGTCTCCGCTAACACGATATTCAGGTGAATACATGGAAATACATAAACTCTCATAAACAATTCCTTCCTTTCCAGGTAGATTATCAGTATGGCTTCCAATGTGATGATGGCTTCTTAAACAATGATTAGTTGACAGAATGAATAAGGCTTTCTGCAGGAAAATATCAGCAAGTCGTAGAGATAACAGTCCGAGAAGGATTCAATAGATTGTTCGAGAGCAGTAGCCCCGAATCACACCTTGGCAAACAACTTGGAGGTTATTGAAAAGAATGTCTGATGTCCAGTTCTTTAAGGCCAAAATGGAGTCACATCAAACTGAAAGAACAAGTTTATGTATTCACCCTTGAGTTCTCCTTACCCAGTCAAGAATATCTGAACAATCTTCACGGTGGACAAAATGCCTTCATATTTATAAAAAAGAAAAAGAAAATAGACCCCTTTTAGCAGATTCTTAAAGCACATGCACAACATATAATATACAAATGCATGTGTGTGTGCACAAGTCCAATCTGTACAAACACAAACATATAAATAGACAGACATGTACCTGTTTTTAGCACGATAGGCCTTTAGTCCAGAAGCTTCTCGCCTGTTTGACACATCTTTCTTCATTTGAAGTGATTCAGGCACATCTAGAGTTCCACTTTTGTCATTGTATGCATTGTAAATGAAATTAATCACCTCATCCTGAAAATTTGCGCTCTAAAGATTTTAGAGAAAGGGTTCAAAAGGTTTCAAAAGAATCTTTAACGAATTTTGGTACATTTATGAAAAGAGATTTAACTAAACCAATCAAGTATAGCATTTGGTGTTCTGTAGTTGCAACTATATAGAGTCACATCAATAACAGACTTCAAAATACACAGAAAATTTGGTTCACAAAAGCATTATGGGAAGGAAAAATAGAATAAGAAAATGTCTGTTTACCACCTAGCATAATGATTTAATTACCATCAGATCATCATGTGGAAAATAAGACTTCATTAACTGACAAAGAGAAACAGAGGTAGAAGTGGAATACCAGTGGTCTAGAAGCATTGAGCCAGTGATAAATTTGCTCATTACGGAACCATGTTAGTTGTCTTTTAGCAAAATTCCTGCAAAACAAATATATAGGAGATGAATTCATAACTTCAGGATACAGTTTTTGTACTCAATAAACTCATGTTTCAAAATCATTATACATTATTAAGTATGTAAGATATGTCAATGTGTATGATGTATGAAAAGATGAAATTAATTACTTTTTAACTAATTTAGTGCTGTACAAACTTAATATAAAATAAAAAATAAAAAGTATGATATGAGGGACATTCTGAAACAACTTTAGATTTGTAACGTAAAATGAATAACTGTGGCTACTGAAGTCATAAATACCATACCTGGATGCTTTTTGAAATTCAGATAAAAAATAATAGAAGTCTCTGGTAGAACTCATGCCTCCTTGCTCCCTACACCTCAACAAGTATTCCATTGCCTGAAATCAATTGATTACAAAACACCAAATGAGCCCTGCCATTCATTTTCAGACTTTGGAAAAGCAAAACAAAATGTCAAATAAAGAAAAAAATTCAGAAAAACAGGTGAAGAACTGAATAAGATAATTGTGAATTCCAGCAAAAGCAGAAAATCAACATGTGGTAGCCACAAGAGCAATGTATGAATTTTTTAGCCAATTTATTATGTGCATGATCATCTAAAATTCGCATTCATATCTGGAGACTTAACCAGAAATCTATTAAGATGTTAAAGTCATAAAGCAGCAAGAAACAGCAATATTACACACTAAGCTGTTCAAGACTTAAGATGCCAATACCAGACAGCATTAGCAGTTAGAACAGAAAAGAAAGGATGTAGATGAAACTGTTGACTAGGTTATTAGTTGCATTTGCCTTGTGCTGGACAGCTAGTTTCAAGCAATTTGGCTTTACCTTTGATTTTTTTAACTAATTGTCATTTAATTTCATATTACTTGTGAGGGAATGACGTGGAACACATAGGACATAATTCACAAATAACCCTATTATAAGGCAGAAGAGATGAATCAGAAAGGTACCATTGTTTGCACATCATAAAATAAATTATTATGCAAAGGGGGAAAAAGCAAGAAAACATACAAAAATATACCTGTCTGTAACCAATTGCTCGAGTTGCAGAGTTTGAATTTGGAAGAAGACCCTTATCCAGAAGCCATCTAGCCTCAGACAAAATACCATCTGTTTCTACAATTGAAGCCAAGCAACGTGAATGAATACCACTGAAGAGTTTTTTGTTCTAAGCAGAGGAAGAAAAATATTTTACACAAACACAAGCACAGCTAAAGGAGATTCACAAGACTTCCTCGTTATAAAACTAATAACCTTGCCAATTATTGAAATTATGATCAAATATGAACATTCTTCTCAAAGAACAAATGTCAAATCTGTTGAAAATCAAGACATACTTCACAGGCAGATAATTGTATACATTGCATAAAATTAAAAGAATACAACATTTGAGAATTATAAAAAATATAGATCAGAGCAATATGACCTACCTGAAAGCATATGTTCACATCGCAGGTCAATCAACCTATAGAGATCAAGTCTGGGGCTTGAGAGGAAAAAACAAATGAATTCATAATCCAAATCCTTCACCTTATCTTGCTCAGGTGCATCAGCAGAAGGGTTTAAGTCAGAAGAGTCAATTGTTTCACTTGAGTCAGACTGATGTCTGAAAGAATCATATGGTATATGAAAAGCAGATGGAGGTGATCCACTAGACTGCCACACCAAAAGACACCAAATAAAGATGAACACCTATTCTCAAGACATCTGAGCTCTATATGTGAGCGTCTGTCTGGAGAGAGAGAGAGAGAGAGATGTATCGAATGATCTATGTAGATTAAAATCTCAATAATCATACCCTGATAATCTCAAGGCTACGCCGTAAGCGATACCAATCATTGGCAGCCAAATACTGGGCCTTTGGATCTCCTGCCTTGACCACCAACTGCACAGCAGCCTCCCAGTTCCTATCTCTCTCAAAATCTACAAGCTCAGAATATACTTTAGCTGCAATTTTTGGAGAGGCCTTTGGAACATCCGGCTTTCCATATAGAAACCTAACATTATAAAATTTTTAAAAAGAAAGAAAGAGATAATAGTAAATATTTCCATATAGGTTGTTTTTCAGCAACTTTTGAGCAAGGAAATTCAACTACACAAGAAGTACCAATAGGAATTTCAATTCTGCAACTAAACCATATGATGAACCTATGCTATCCCAGGCGTTCTAACAGAGAAACAGTGAGCAGAGAAGAGCAGGAAATACACATGGGTGCTGAGAAAGAGAGAGACACAGGCAAAGCAGGGAGAAGAACATCAAGAAGAAAATGCAAATTGCTACCGAACCAAATTAGTTTATAAAACTCAAGTGGTTATATTCAGGATAAATCAAAGCTCACCTATGCAAAAGGACATGTGGAAACATACCATCGCAAGTATAATCCAGTCCCACCAGTAACAATGGGAACACGGCCACTATCAAGAATATCTCTTGTCACCTGCCTAGCATCCTCAAAAAATTGTCCTACAGAATAGTCTGCATTGAAATAATAAAAAGTTATTTTAATCAGTGAAGTAAATCAGAAACACAGAAGCAAAAAGTCACCTGAAAATCAAGAGAATGCCTTCATATATATGTTTTTTCTGCTCAGCAAGAATGCCTTAATATGCCTTATTGACATTAGTTGGGATCACCAGAAACTTACCTTCAGATGGGTGCAAAATGTCAATCAGATGATGTGGCACTTCCTGCAAGAAGAAAGGCATAAATCTTTCAATCTAAATGCATCAAAGTTTTGAAGGACTTTTAGATTTAAAAACCCGCAAGAATTGAAACCGATTTCATCTCAGCAAAAACAATATATGATGTGAATGAGAATTAACTTGTAAACAATACGGAGTAGCATTTTTCTGGATAACTCTAAGAGGTAAAAAAAACACAATGTCTCCTTACATTAAGGATTCAAAAATCATTATTTTAACCAAAAAACTGCACCCTCAAGAGTACATAAATGTTTTAAAAGACAGAACTGAAAAAAATAATAATAATAATGCCTGCAAATTTTGAAAGTGTGTCATACGGTGCGCATTGAGTAATGAACTGCCAAAGAACAACAACATAAGAAAATGCAAAAAAAAAAAAAAAAGCTTCAAAGGACACTATAAGCACACTCAATTCTACACATTAGTATACATTCATTGATATTAGAATCTAAAAACAAATTGAATTCAAAACATTTTTCAAGGAATTGATAATGCTTTACACATTGACAGTGAAATACGTTGAAACTTGAAAAAATGAAAATCCTAGTAGAACAAAATGCAAAGCATGTACTAATAATATACTATAATTAGGCACCTTTCTATCACTTGAACAAGGCTTCGCGGATCCAACGTCAAGACCCCGATAAACCTACAATTAAACAACATCTTAAAGAGAAAACAAACAATATTTTAAGAAACAATTAAAACCCAAGAAATTTCCTCAGCAACCAAATAAAACACAACAAAAACCAAACCCAAACAGCCCAAAACGAAAACCCAAAATTTCATTTTTACTTCTAAAAAAAAAATTTATTTTTTGGAATGAAAGAAGTAACCTGAACGGAGTCAGCACTGATGATTTCACCATTAAGACGCTTAGCAAGTTCCAAAGCAAGCCTGCTTTTGCCTGCCCCAGTTGGCCCTGATATTACTATCACCTTCTCTTTCTTCTCTCTCTTGTTGTTGAAAGAAACACAACTTGAGTTTGTAACTAAGGTTTTTCTACTACGAAGAAGTGAAGGAAAAAAGGGTTTCTGAGGCAAGCGGATGCTACGAAGGCTGTAAAGTCCACTTGGGATCATCTCTGAAAAATGGATGCTTTAGACAGATTTTTTTGGGTTGGGTTTTTTTTTGGATGTCAAAGTGTTTTTAAGGTTTTGAGGTTTGGTGTTCTTGTCTTGGGGCTAAAGTGGCACAGTGGGTAAGGTTTTATCTAGGGTTTTAGATTTTTGGTGGGAAGATATTTTTTATTTTTTCTTTTTTCCTTTTGAAGTTAAAATTGATCATTGTTTTGCCTTTTTAGTTTTTTTTTTTAATTATTATTACTCCATTATTTAATATCAGAAGTGAAAATTTAAGCTTTTAATTTAGTGTATTTTTCTTATCAGAAACACATTTTTAACATACTGAAAATCTCATTAAATTTTTTAACATGGCTTAAAGAGATTTTAATTTGTTTAACTTAATTTTGCTTTTTTCAATTTATAAAATAAATTTAGAGTTCCGTTTCTACATATTAATCGTAATTTTTTCAATTTTACAAAAGAAATTAAAAAATTATTACATGTTTCATATTTTAATTATTTTTTATTTTTTTATTATATTGTAAGCTCAAGTTTATATATCATTTTATTAATTTTATCCGTAAAAATTTATAGTTTTTCCTAAATTTACACCGTTACGAGTTAGCCACACACACAAAAAAAAATTATATTTAAAGATATTTTTACCCTCTAATAGAAAAAAAATGGAAAATATAGTATTGAGTTTAATTTTCCATATAGTATTGGTTTAACCTGAATTTAAACCATTGTTTCATTATCTTGAATTATTTTAGGTGCAAAGGTGTTTTTATTTTAATTAAAAATGAAAAAAAAAATCTTACTAACTTTTATTGACAAAGAAAACAACACACGGATTTATGACCGACAAAGCAATCGGTTGAGCTATTACTTCTAAAAATAGACTAGAAGCAATTATTATTTGCCTTAATCTAGCATTCAAGTTTCCACAGCTTGAAAATTGAATCTGTTTCCCAACCCCCAATGTGTCACAATCTAAAGCATATAAAAATCCAGAAGAATTGAAAAACATGAACCAGCAAACTCAAAGCTACCAACCACTGATGTTGATCATTGTCTAGTTTGGGAATTTGATGCTAGACCTTTTTTGAAGCATAGAAATTAGAAGGAAATAAAAATTCTCTTTTGCATGTGGGGGGGCAAAAAAAAAAATGAAAATCACTTTCATTCATGATTTCTTTTTTTTTTCTCTTACTCAAGATTAGGAAAAATTTAATCCTGATCACTGAGATTGAGTCCAACACTTTATCAATATATCACATGACTGTTGGTCCAATTTCATTCATGACGGCAAACTTCCAACTGGAGTCAAATTGAAAATCTTAGCCTGCTACCTAAACTTGATCCTAACAACTGGTGGTTACATGGAGTTTCTTTTTTTTAGATGCTTAAGTTTCAAGATAAAGCTTCAAATACATAGAAAACTGTAACCAACAATGAGCTAAAAAAGCAATACAACAATTTTTTTTCCATCCTCCTGGACTCAATGAAGACACAAGCTGCAGTGAAGATCCAATCATTGTTTCCTGTCTTATTGGCTTCCCTTCTCGTTTTAGGAACGGCACAACTAGTTTTTGATTGCTTGAAGAGTAGGAAAAGCTATGTTTTTCAGTTATATGGCAAGCCAGGGAAGCAAAGGAAATCAGTTTTTGTTTTACCAGAAGATCGGATGGATGAAAGTTGCAATCTGTTTGAAGGGCGATGGGTTTGGGACAATGTGTCGTATCCCCTTTATAAAGAAAATAGCTGCCCTTACTTGGTTAAGCAGACTACTTGTCTGAAAAATGGCAGGCCTGATTCTTTCTACCAAAACTGGAGGTGGCAGCCTCATGCATGCAAACTACCCAGGTATATGTTCTTGAAACTACAAGCCTTCAATTCTATCTTTATCGACTATCTAAACTTCTACTTAAGCAGTAATGTTACTAAGGTTCAGGAAGCACTTGAAATATTCTGTGACCTTCCAGGTTTGATCCGCTGAAGCTATTGGACATTTTGAGAAACAAAAGATTGATGTTTATAGGAGATTCGGTTCAAAGAGCCCAATTTGAATCAATGGTCTGTTTGGTACAATCTGTTATTCCCAAAGGAAAGAAATCCTTTGAAAGAATTCCTCCCAGGAAGATCTTTAAAGCTAAGGTATTCAACCTGCTTCTCCACTGAGATTTTGAATTGTGTTTTCCTGTGATAAACTTCGTTGGGTCATTCCTGATTTCCTTCTTCTGGATTTGAATTCAGGAGTACAATGCATCGATCGAGTACTATTGGGCTCCTTTCATTGTGGAATCGAATTCAGATCATGCAACAAATCATACTGTACTAAAACGTCTGGTGAACCTTGACTCTATATCTAAACACGGCAAGAGTTGGGAAGGAGTGGATGTGTTGGTATTTGAGAGCTATGTTTGGTGGATGTACAAGCCTCAGATTAATGCTACGTAAGTACTTGGTATACCTACAGACTAGTTCCTGTTCTTTTCTGTCAGTCATTTCATTAGACTTGCACTTCAACCATGGCATTGTCTTAGATTTCTCATTTCTTTGTCTTAAGCTATCATGGAATTTCAACCAATACAGCGCAGAATGAACCAGAGACATCGCTGTAGTTGTAGCACAAAATCCTAAACTCACTTGAAAGGATTTTGCATTTGATTTTCAAACTTAGTTTTTTTTTTCTGCAGAAGTTGAGAAATTTTGGAATCTGAAAGAAGGTAATAGTTTCTTTTTCTGGTTATTGCTTTCAGCTATGGATCCGTGGACAATGTTCAAGAATATAATGTCACCAAAGCTTACAGAATTGCATTGGAGACTTGGGCAAATTGGCTAGAATCCAACATTAATCCTCATCTGCAAAAGGTCTTCTTCATGAGTATGTCCCCAACACACTTATGGTGAGTTTCACTCATTATTTGACAAGTACCATGATAGCAAACTGCCTGCTTTTACATTACATCTGAGCTAAAGGCTTTAACTGGCAAAACCAAGTCTTTGTTTTCCATTTTTGTTTAACTCCTTTCATTTAATTTCTTCCCTGTTTTTAAACCACTGACAGTTCATTTCTTGGTTAGGAGAACTTTAATCTTAATTGAAAATAAAGAAAAAAAAAACCTAAAACTTAGATGAATTAGTTCATGTAACCACCTTTAATAGGTGGCATTGATAGGTTTATGGTTCAAATCTTAACACCGGAACTCTCTTCCCCTATCTCTAAGATATGGCCTTCTTTGTAAAACTTAATTGAATTAGTTTATACAATCACCTTTTATAGGTAGCATGGGCAAGTTTAAAGTTCAAATCTTAACACTCGCAATCCTTAATCCTTTCTCCTCTCCTTAAGATGCAGCCTCTTCTATACCAAAAAGAACTCTTAAACTTATTGTAAATTTTCCTTTTGCAGGAGTTGGGAATGGAAGCCAGGCAGCAATGAAAACTGCTTCAACGAGTCTTACCCGATCCAAGGTTCATACTGGGGCACAGGATCTAACCTAGCTATCATGAAGATAATTCATGATATTTTAAGAGACCTTAAAATCAATGTCACATTTTTGAACATCACCCAATTATCAGAATACAGGAAAGATGCTCATACAACAGTTTTTGGCGAAAGAAGGGGCAAACTCTTGACAAAGGAACAGAGAGCTGCCCCAAAGAATTTTGCTGATTGCATTCATTGGTGTTTACCTGGAGTACCTGATACATGGAATGAGATTTTGTTTGCATATTTGTTGCAGAGTTATCAAAATTTTTTGTAACCTCAACAAATACTATTGCCTCTCAAAAATTTGAGAGGTACATCAAAATAATGATACAAAAAATAGTGATTGGAAGCTTAATAGTGAAGAAAAAATGGCTCCTGCCACTGTATGTATAAGAAAAATAGATAGAACTAGATAAATATACCATTGAAAGTTGAAATGTTGTGCCACTTATGGCAGACTATTTGATTTACAAGACAGATTGATTAACCGTGCTTTTATTGGAAATACCTTTACAGAAGGTGGAACTTTGAACATGATTATTTACAGTGCAACTCATTCTTATGGCACAAGCAAAAGGCTTGAGAATGAATCCGGTCAGAAGCCATCCAACCTAGTTTCTTTATTTACTTAGAGGAGTTCCCACTCAGAATCACATACAAGTTCTGTTTGCAGATTTTTGCACTCCAAGGTTGTGGTAGAGGAAGATGGCCGTAGAGTTTGTAAATGATCCTGGTTTGACCCCATATCTGCATCTCCAAACCAAATAGCTAGCTGCTCATACTCCTTTGTCAGCCTCTTTTTTGAAGTTAAAGCATCCTGGACCCTTTTCTATTGAAAGAGAATAACAAAGTAGCAGGCAAATCAAATTAGCTAAGTTTATTTAGAAAGTAAAAGAAGCTATTAGATAAGGCATAGGACATCCTAATTAGGTCCCATTTATCTAAAGCATCAACATAAAAGTAACTTAAAGTTCATTTTCATTAATATAATATCATACGCGTCAAGCAGATAGTTGGAACTCCACATACCAAGTATTCCTCATTTCTAAATTTCTAACTTCCCTTCAATCATGGAATCTCAACAGACGTAGTCTTAACTTCTAAATTCTTCCATTTCAGAATCCTCGAGAATATAATCAATTTTTGTTTTTTTAATCTAAATGCACCATTAATAATTGCTAATTATTCCCACAAAATCGAAAAAAAAGTCAATTGTGTTGGATCCTTTAGAAAAACTAATGAGAAGAAAATGAATAAAGTAACTATGAGTATCAAATTGTAAGGATTTCAAATACTTAGCAAATAAGTTATGTTTATGTTCAGAGACACTCATAATATCAACTCTCCGTTTTCATATGTACAATTTTCTCATCAACAACTTATTCACCAAGTATGATTTGATACTGATTAAACAGAAAATTCATATGGAGAACTGCTATCATATTTTGTCATGTTGAAAAGTAATAAGTCCAATGCATGTAACTATGAGTGTGAGTGCGTGTGTGTGTGTGTCAGAGTCAGAGAAAGAAACCTTGTATGATCTGTGTTTTCTCATTATACGAGAGACAGCATAAAGTGCAGTACTATCAACAATGACACAGCTATCTTCAAGCTTCACCTCATCACACAATTCAATGGTCTCCATGGAAGAAACACAGATATCATCGGTGGAATCATCTATAGGTCCTGTTCATGGTTTTTAAAATTAGAGAAGGTAAAGAATTAGAAAACCTTCCCCGGTCAACAGTTCTTTCATTCCAATGAGAATATCAAAAGCCACTGTAAAAGAGAACTTTTTATGCTACGGTGCAAACCAAGTCCTCCAAAAATGCACAACATCAAGGAAATCATTCATCATTGGTAAAAACTAGTGACTTCATACTTTAGAAATACACAAACACACATACATTGATTATTTTGAAAGTCATTATGATCACATTACTGAATCATCTAACCCTATAAATATATTACCCACATATTTTTTCCAGAAACTTTCTTTTTGAAGTTATATTATTTAATTACTGGACATAGAATGGCCTTGTACTGCAATTGGCAGAAAAATAAACAACTAGAAATGTGCATTGCCACTGATGTAAAGCAAGCTAGGTTTCTGAAGGTTTGACATTTGAAGTACAAAATTATTATCATTATTACTATGTCATGCAAGGTTGAAATTGTAGAGTTTGCATCATCATTATCATCATTATTGATATCATAATTACAACCACTGCAATTGAATTTGACATTAATAAAGGTGAGGATAGAGAAACACACTTAACAAGAGGGAAGAGAAGAAAGCTATCAAATTATGCATTTTGCTTACGTACCAATATCAGAAGAGGATAAAGCCTGAAGTTGAGCAGATTCACCACCAAAGTAAACATTTTTTATTCCTGATATTGCAGTCAGAGACTCTGTGCCATTAACAGTTCTGGAGGCATCATTTTCTGCCAAATCAAAAGTGAGATGAAAACCAACTGTACAAGGAAACAAAATAGATGCTCATTACATAAGAGCAGGATACTAACCAAGTAATTCCAATGATAAGTCACTGTTAGATGACATAGATACTGCCCCCGTCAACTTCTTCTCATTGGATAGAAGTGGGGTCAACATGGAAGATGAATGCACATTGTGAGAAACCAACTCAGCCACATGAACAGAGTCATGATAAAGAAATGCTTTTGCAGATGAATTCTCAGGCAAATAAAATTCGTTAAATATTGAACCACAAGAAGAATCAACTCCAATCTCTGCCATATTTTCCTCACAACATATGACTGAAGAAGTCATTTTTGACGAAGTAATACCACCTGAGGCGTCTGGGACACACTCAGAATCATCTGTAAAGTCATTCTTAACTGTTTCTGAATTTTGGTTGCCATGAACTAAAGTTGCAGGAGAAACATCAGTGCAAACCACACGTGGACTTTTATCATTACAATCAACAAACTCAGGGACCAATGAAGCTCTGAAGGATTCTTCCTCACAAGGAGAGATCAAGTCTGAAACATCTGATGCAGATGGCCTTCTCACATCATGAACTGAAGTTACTGGAGAAACCTCCGCTTCAACCCAAAACCTTTCTTTATCATTATAATCAATGAACTCATTCAACAATGAAGATCCACAGGATTCCTTCACAACAGGAGAGATAAACTCTGACACCTCAGATGCTGAAGGCTTTTCCATTGTGGCATTTTCCTCTATGTTCACTTCAGGTTTTGTATCTTTCAAAACATCAGCAACTTGTTCTGAAGTTAAGTGTTCTTTCCCCAAAAGGGAATCCACAGAATTAGAGTTATTTGGTTGGTCTACAAGGCAAAGCTCACCAAAAGCACAATCAAGCTGTTTTTTGACCTCATCAACTGCAATGTTATTAACTGTTCCCTCCTTTTCAGGGGATTGAAACTCCATGTCATGAAATGACTTCGTAAGAGAAACTTCACCTACAAACCTGCATGAATTTTTATTATTACAATCAATGAATTCATTTGCCAATGAATCTCCAAAGGATTCTTCCTCGCTAGGAGAGATCAACTCTAGTACATCAGACCCAGATGTTTTTTCCATTATGGTATTTTCTTCTATGTTTACATCAGAGCTTGTATTTTTCAAAACATCATTGACTTGTCCTGACATTATGTCTGACTTTGCTCCATTAAGGGCATCACCAGAAGTTGGAGTACTAAGTAGATTTGAAAGGCAAAGTTCATTAGAAGCATGATCAAGCTGTTTTTCAATGGGATCAACTGCAACAGGCTCGACATGTGATAGCTTACCAACAGTGTCTATGTGATCTTCCTCAATAGCAGCCTTTGGTTTAACATAGGTATCAATTGTGGCACTTCTTTTTAAAGCAACTCCTAGACCTTCATGTTTTAAAGGAGGCAGTATTTCATGTATGACATCAGAATAAAATCTCTTCACGCTTTTACCCACACTTTGTGCCTGGTTTTCAACATATTTGACAGTGTCCTGCAGATAAAGCCATTTACAAGATTATGAAAGAATTTCAAGCCAAGCATACATATTCTTGAGTGCATAAAACACTACTGATTGCATAATATCATTCAGCCAAGTGATACCGCAGCATGGATGATAAAGATGGGAGGGGGAAGGCAGTGGGGGGAAGCGAGAAAGCAGTTCCCTCATACTCGGATTAAACTATTAATACCTGGTTCACAATATTATCCACCTCATGGCACAACGTTTCAAACTTCTGGTAAATGCCCCCCACCCAGCCGATACTGTTAAATTTAAAATCCATTTCTGAGTATCAGACTGTCAAAGCCAATTTCACGCATACATCTGTTCTTTTAACAGGTATATGGCATTATTCCTGCCCCGGGATCATTAATTTAGCCTGAAAAGATTACAAATTGTACTGAACACTCAGAGAACTTGATGAGCTTCAAAGGATGTAAGCTACAATAGACTAAATGTCAAATAGAAAGTGCAAACAGAATGTGAAAATAGATTTAACCAAAATGTCTTCCCAACTACCATGACAGCAATCAAAGTACCGTTAATTCATCATACATTATAAACAGAGTGATGGAAAAATACATTTTAATTACTCACTCCACAAATTAACAGCTCATAGTACTTGAAATCACAATACCCTACATGGCCAACCATCTCAAGAAAACAAGTTTCAAGAAATCTAAAAATTTTTACTTCCCAAAAGCTGATTTCACAAACTTAGCTACCCAAAAGTATCATCACTCTACAAACAACAACACAGAGAAAACTGTTTCCCATTCTTGCCTTCAAAAATTCCATTAAAGGAGTATTTGCCTTTCTATTATTTCCCAAGGAAAAGGGAAAGACAATGTTTATCACTTTTTCACAACCATACATACATAAAAAAATGAAGACATGCATGCATCACGCATATACAAAGAGAGTGCGAAAATCATCCGAAAATTGTATCTTTACAAAATCATCAGATTTTTTTTATAAATAAAATTCGATTTTACATAAAAATATACGTATAAAAATAGATACTTTACATAGGAAGAGAACCCAATTTCATGAAAAGCAACGATTTTTATATGAAATTTTACTCGTGAAAATTCCAAAGACTGAGGAATATAATAAAAACCCAGATAGGGAAAAAGCAGGTAGAGAAGGTGCGGTGGCTCACCAGTGGCCGGAGCAGGTTGTGTACGGGGGATGCCGTTGGTTTTTGATCAACAGAGTTTGGAGAGAGACAGAGACAGAGGAAGAGAGAGAAGGCGTTTATATGAGGGCAAATCGTAGGGGTTTTAGTAGTAATTTACTTTAAATGGGCAAAACGCACCGTTTTTTCTCCTCTTTTATATTTTTAAAATTTTATTTTATTCTAATACGACTAATTAGAATTAAGAATTCACATGTTAATATATAAAATAAAATCTACTATCTAATATAATAAATGTATAAACATCAAAGTTTTAAAAAAAATATTCAATGTGAATGACTTATATTATTGATATATGGACGAATAATTTTAAAATATGATTATATGCCTTTTAATAAATGTAATAATGTATTTGTATTTATTCGAGACAATGTTATTAATTAAAAATAATTATTTTTATTAAATTAAATATATTTATTTTCTTTTAAATATCTAATATTTGTATTTTATATGAATAAATTACAATTAATTTAATGAATAATAATACAAATAAAATATAAAGCTAATTAATTATGAATATATTTTTAATATTAAGACAAGTAATAAAAATTTTCATATGACTTAAAAATGTATACTTAAAACATATTATGCATTTTGAAAACTTAAATGTGATTTGTGTATTTATTTATATATATAAAATTAATCCATACATTTCATACAAACCGCAATTTAATTAATAATAACAAACAATTAATTAGAAAAAGTTAAAAAAATCTATAAATATAACCAATTTGAGACAGTTTTAATCTCCCAAACTGGCTCCTTTTTCTTCGTTGAACATAACTTGTCTTGGTTAACCTACAATTTCTTTGATAATGTTTTGAAACTAAAAAATAATGCATATTTAGAAAAGATTTTTGCAATTACTCAAAAATAATTATGCATTGTCTTCCTTGCCAAGTTGTCAAGTTGATTAAGGAATTGAGAGGATAATTAAAGAGTAACCAACAAGTTTACCATTCATTTGTTGGTAATATCACTATCATCACCGTTTGTGTGTATATATACATAAAAAAATTAAGACAAGTTGCTTCTTGATAATCCCATTCCCTTTCAAATTCCTATACGATGGCCAATCACTCTTTTAACTTGGTGCTTTACATTTTCAATACATGTCAAGTCTCTATCCATTTTGTCCAAAATTCTCCATAGTGAGGAAAATAAAAATATAAACGTAAGAAATTTGTTGGAATCATTGGAAATTGTCAAATATGACACTTTTTTCTCCTCATTCCTAGAAAGTTCAAATCAAGGGGGGAAATTTGACAAAGAAATCGTTTGATTTTTAATCCACATATACACAAACAAGAATGTCAAGGAATTTTCATGACAAATTTCTTGGGGTTAGGATACAATTGCATGTTCATTGCACCAATCAACCACCATGTCAGACATTTATCTCGAGAAAATTACAAGCAGGCTCATGGTTAGCCAGCAATATCTAATCTTGATTTTGTCATATGAGCAGGCTCATGGAGGGCTAATGATCGATATTTTCTCGGACTGAATCAGTGGAGATCCTCACTCCACTCCATCTTGCTTCATTTGAGTGCTGTGAATACGCATCCTCCTTCCATGATTCCATCTTTATCTTTGTGGTTGATTTTTATATCCTCAGTGAGTCATAGATCCACATCAAACGGCCCAAAGATGGGAAGCAAAGAAGGGGGGAAAAAAGAAAACACCAACGCCATTAGCATAGAATCAGAGCATCAATTCCACCCAAGACCATAAAAAGATGTCAGGTATACAACTTTCCTACCCAACAATAAAAGAAGAGAGAGAAAGAGGAGAAACATGCTCCTAGTTCCTCGAAAGAAAAAGAAAAAAAAAAAAAAAAATATATATATATATATATATATATATTCTTGAAAGCAACCTAGATAGACAAATGCAAGTCCAAATAGGAATGACAATGAAACTAGTTAAATATTTGTGTCTTTAACCAGGACCTCTTGAGTAGTCAGTTTAAAATCTTGGGACCAAATAGCCTTATTTTTCATCTACTTATGAAACCAAGCAAGACACTCCCAATTTCCAAAAGCTAAATTTAACATCTCAGAAAAGACATTTAAGGTCAACAATGAATCGTGGTAAAAAGCAAAAAGCTTTCAACAACTTGTGCAATTCAGTCCGCAAATCGCATTTGAGGTATAATTTGGCAAGCACAAATCAAAATTATGATAAAAAGGTTTCTACAAAACCACTAAAAATCATTCACATCATTTGCATCAGAGCCTCCTTTTAGAGGAACATGATGAGAGAATTGGATAGGCGCAGATGTCAAAATCAGCTACCAAGCATATAACACATAGAAATTCTTTTCAAAAACACATTATATCCATTCCAATAGGATACTGACCACGGTTTCAGCAAGTAGATTAAAATTTTTCATGATGTACAGAAACCTAGTTAATAGATGCAAACAGCTGCCACCAGAAAAGACAAAAGGAAAGTAAAAGCTAGCCTTTCAACCAGTCTCCTATAGAACCTATCAAAATGTCTAACTTCAATACATACAGATCACAAAGTCCATCACACCACTGTGCACAAAAAAAGCGTCTCCAACAAAGACAGCCACCAAAGACAGTTGCAGCACCTGGGGGAAAAGAGACTCATTTTATGTTGCAAATGAATTGGTAAAGCCACAGCAAGAGCTCATTTATAAATCCAACAAAACCCAGCTTAGGCCACACAGATGACAATACAAGGAGACTGTCAATTATGTACATCAACACTCAACAACTAGCAGCACCACATCAAGAAGCAACCAACAAAATCACTGGCACACTTAATGAAATACTAGCTGCTCCAATATCATTAGATTCTTCACTGAAACAAGAACCCAATCAAAAAATCCATGTCATGAGGGCAACCTACCAATTTTATACAGATCCAGGCAGCCAGAAATACATCCACTTGAACAAAGGAACATTAAGTATCAGAAGAAGACTAGCAAAACTCTAGCCCCTAAGTAATAAAAAGATGGCACAAAAATCTTCAAGACATCTTTCGGTGGCAACTTTAACACATAATTGAAAAGTGAATGTTGTAACAAGAATGCAATAAATTACATTAGAAAAGGATCTTACTTAACTGAAGTGTTAAAACTCATTTATGTAACAAGAAAGTAAAATTTTTCTGGTGCAGTTTCTCAACACCCCATTAATTTATATATCAAAATAAAGAACTACATATAATTTCAATAAAAATAAGCTGCAGGTTTGTTTATAGTCTATATACCATCAGAGTACATAATAGAAAATCCAACATGAATAGCATTATCTACCAACATAGAAATAAACTTCCAAGTAGAGGAGATGCATAACAAATATAGTTACTAGCAAAATAGGCAAAAATATTATGTCACTACTTATACTATTAGAAAACTATACTAATGACTAAAATGCCCCACTGGGACAAAGGTTCCTAATAAAACATAGAAAAACTAATCTAGATCACAAGTTTGAAAACCAGCACTCAGAAATAAACATCTTAAAGATGCAGATCAAAGAGAAGTGGCTGTAAGAGCCCAGCTAATACATTCATCAAGCCAGAGAGTATATATAGTCTGCATTCACGCAATCACCAGAACCACAAAAAGCATCTGCGCCCAACAAGCTGTCATAAACCTGAATCAAACACCCATTGACAACTCAATTCATCATTCCACACCATCAAGCAAAACAAATGTCAACACTAATTGGAAGGCAATGTATTAAAGCAAAACTAGTGAAACAAAAACAACCAACCACTGCACTTACTTGAATGGGATAAGCTCAGACGTTCTCACTTGTCAAACAAACAAATAGAATAAACAGAAATGGAAAGCAACTGTAACAACTGTACACAATCAACTATAAAGAGATAAGCAAACAGCAAAGCAAACTATCACGCAATACAACTGGAAAAATTCATAATAACTCCACAGTGATGGAAAACTTTTCCTAAAAGAGAGTTTGAGACACCGAATAAAGCAAAGCTAGATTTCATTTGAAATCAAAGAGGATAATATTCCCTCAGATTAGTTAACAATGGAAATCAACACCGTTTACACATGCCAGGCTACCAAAAGCAAGTCAAAAAAAGATGAATGTCAAAGTTATAATCTACTATGCAAAAATAACATGTTTATGCCAAGTTGAATTGGAAATAATGGCCAAATAGGTATCAATAAAATCAAATCAACGAAGATGGTTACAATATGTACCCAAAAAACTAGTTTGCATACAGACGATTACTAACATTTCAATTTCAAAAAGTTTTCAAGAATGATTGTTCTTCTAAACACAAGTTCAGGCCAACAACTAGTAAAACCCACAACCTACTTAATACAGTTCTTTATACATGATTAAACATAAGAACATAATATGCCTTAAACACCATAACTCAAAAGGCAAATAAAGTATTTCTCTATGGGGTACAGCACAAAGAAGGAACCCTTGCTGCCATACAGAAATAAGCAAAGCTAGATTTTAGCACAGCAACTATGTGGGTTAAAAGAAATAAAGATGTGAGAAAAAAATAGACGGAAGAAAAACGAAGTTCTGTAACTGTGGGAGTGGGTAGTTTCTCTCAATTGCATGTGTTAAAAATTTTAAAACAAAATTAATTAAAAATATGTAAATCCTCATTTATAGGTATAATAAATGACATTTATATCCTTAATTTTATATATTTTCTTAATTAGAGAATTCATTAATACTAACAGTATAGATACCAACCATCAGCCACACATAAATAAGGTCAAGTAATGTATACATATATTAAAAAATATGGGCATATAATTGAAGATATAAAGCTAATGCCCAACAGTGAAGAACCATTTGAAAACACAATAAAATGTGGCAACATATAGTATCTTTGACAAAAAGCAACAGCAAAATACTACACGCAGACATCTACAACTATATAACACACAAGTAACACAACTCAGAACAAACAAAGCAGGAAAAGAACCAAAAGGTTTCAATTTTCAAGTAATCACACACGGGGAACAAATATCCACAATAAAGCACGAGCATTCACAAACACAGACATTATCTCATTCTAACTAATCACCAGAAAGTCAAAATCAAAACGCATAACACCTCATGAAGCATAAAAGAGTTTACAAAAAGGCAATGAAGGAGAACTACCTCAGTAGAAAGATGGTCCATTGGGATACATTCCACCAGGTGGAACCCTTGGCAAATTGGATGTCCCAGCTCCTTGATGATGTTGACCAGGGAGAGCAACAGACGAAGACAAGCTATAATGGGCACTCTCCGGATACCCACCAGACGGCAACCCTACAGAACTCGGTGGCAATCTATACAATGAAGACCCTCCACCAGCACCACTCAACCCACCATAGCCAGTCGAACCCGGTCCACCATACCCACCATACGGTCCAGCAAGTCCAGAAACATAACCACTACCAGCACCCCCTCCACTCCCACTCAAAGTACCCACCCCAACTCCGGATGAATTCAAGTGATGAGGATGACCCATTGGACCCGGCGGCCCTTGCAGCCCACCCGAAAACCCACCATAACCACCCATACCACCTGGTCCACCAGGACCACAATATCCTCCTCCATGTCCTCCCATCCCCATCTCTGCATTTCCCGGAGCCCCACCTCCACTTTGCATCATCCCATCTTGTCCTGGCTTCCCTTTTTTTCCTTCAATAGCGAACTTACAATTCATTTGTCTCCCATCAATGTTCTTCACCGGTTCCACCAACGCCGCCTCAGCCCCTTCAGCCGTCTTATAAACAAAAAGAGCAAATCCCCTTGATTTCCCCGTCTGCTTATCGAACCCCAACGGACCCTCTTCTATTTCCCCATACTGAGCAAAATGACCCAATAACTTATCCGCCGGCATATCATACGGCACATTGGCTACATAAATCTTCCTCATATGAATATCCACCAGGTTAGTATTCGCCCCCGAATTCCCAGCCGCCGCCAGCTGTGTCACCGTGACTCTCCCGTCGATTTTCTTGCTGGGTTCTTTGAGAGCAAGCAAAGCACCATCGACGTGCTTGAAAGTAACAAACCCGTACCCTTTAGATTTCCCAGTAGCCTTATCGAGGATAACGACCGCTTCTTCGAGTTCCCCATAGAGGGAAAAAAGTGAATGAAGGCCATCGGTGGTTGTGTCCGAACCCAACCCACGGATGAAGAGCTTCCGTTGAGATGGGTCTTGATCCGCAATAGATTGGACGGCGGAAAGGACGTCCTCATGGCAAGAAACGGCGTCTTGGAGGATATCAAGGAGTTGATCGACGGTGAATCGCTCGATTAGTTTGCGGCCGTCTTGTGGCGTAAGTTTGGTGATTGGGTCAGGTTCCGATACGGATGAAACGATGCCGTTATCATCCGGCTTACGTTTCTTTGTTGGATCGAAGGATTGCATCTTTGGGGTTCTTAACGTAAAACCCTAACCGTAACAAATTCTAGTGAGAGAGAGAGAGAGACGACTTTCGACTTGAGGTTGAAGAAAATACAAAGCTGTTTCTTTTATAGCGGGTTTATGGTGTTTGTGTTTGATAGTTTGGGTCGAAACTTATACGCCAATTTCGTTTTGGGCCGTAAGTCACACAATTTTTTTGCATATCAATTGTCTATTGGATTTTGGGCTTACCGTCCATTCTTGGGCTGCCGCTTGAAAGTGGTAGTAACTTCATCATGGCCTTTTTTCGACAATTCTTTTATAAGTTTTGAGATTTAATCCTTTAATCTCTTACAAGATCATACTGGCTTTCCATTACCAGTGTTCAACTTTTGATAATTTTAAATAGGTGAAATGATTTATTCAGAATTTAATGTTAATCCACATCATACGTTTTTTAATTAAAGTTTTTTTTATTTTTTATATATTTGTTAAATTAATTAGATTAGATTGATTCATTTTAAAAGTAGAGATGGTAGTGGATGGTAAGTAAATAGCTATTCGTCATTATTCAATTAGTTTATGTTGGATTCGGATCATTATAAATGGATAATCAACAAATTTGGATATGATATTTATTATCCAAAGTGGATACGAATAATATCCTCTAGATATTCAAAATCCAAATCTGTTTCAATTTTAATGAATAGTAATGGATATCTGAATTCGTATTTAAAGCTGACATCCATTTATATATGTAAAATATATAAAATTTTATGTATGTAGAAGATTTTGGCTATTAAAAAATAACTTTTATTTATTATTAATTAAGAGTGAATTTGAATTTGAATTTTAAATTAAATTATTATTTATTTTATATTTTGACGAAAATTTTATATAAATGAATATTTTAACGGGTAATGCTTATTTAAATATATTCAGATTTGGATAATAATATTAAACTTAAACAATTATTTAATTGGATTCGAATATTATTCACGTACAAATATCTTAAAAATAGCAGATATCTGCTTTGTTTTCATTCTTATATGAAAAGATATTATTGTAGTGAAGGCTTGAAGAATATATTATGTAGACCTAAGGTTTGTTTGGATGGATGGTAAAATTGAATTTGGTGAGATTAATAATAACGATGATAGTAAATTGATTATTGTAAAGGTAACATTGGTTACTGTAGCAATGAAATTAAAATCAATGAAGAGATATATATTTGAATGCAAAAACAAGATAACAGTAAAGTGAATTATAATGAGAAGATAAAATAAATATTAAAGATATTAAATTAAAATTTATGTATAATAAAATTTTAAATTATTTGAAATTTATGAAATTAATAAATTATTAAAATTATTAATGTCATAACGGTTTTGGGTCCTCCCGACGAATTTGGAAACGAAAATAAAAAAATAACGGAATCGTCATCAATATTTTTTGGTTAGGTGCAATTGGTCACCTATTAAAACATATCCTTTTAATGAAATCTTAAAATTAATTAAAATTTATTAAAAGGATAATTTTAGGGTCTGCGTAACAGTCTGAGTTCGGGAGTCGATTATGTGTAAGGAAGGATTAACACCCCCACAGCACTCATTTAAAAAATGGTACCAATTAACTATATGTTATCTTTTGATTTTGATAGAAAACAGTCTTAATTTCGGTGTTTATAAAGTAATTTCCTTGATTTCTTTTTGTTTATTGCATTTTTTGGTTTTTCCTTTAATTTTATTTCATATTTATTATTCAAGTTTAATTCGAGAAAAATAAATTTGAATATTTTTATTGAAATAATTCTTAAATTGTTCCAATACGTTGATAATATTAGAAGAACTTTTTCTCACTTAGAAATTTTTTAGGCATCGCTTTTCGAAATATCTTAAAATCTCATCATCGGAGGTCTGAATTTACTTTTTGTAAAAATTATGTCATGCATGCAATGCAAATAATGACATGTAGATGCACACATCTTATTTTTTATTTTAAAAAATTTATTAATTTTTATTACTATTTTCATTTAAACAAATGAAGAAAAGAGGAATTTTTATTATATTGAAGATTTTTTATAAATATTTCAATACACTAGTAATATTTAAAAAATATCTTTTCACCTAAAGAGTTCTTAAAGCATCTATACCTGGAATATTTTTAGAATCCCATCATTGGATAAATTTTTCTTTTTTTTTCATTTTTTTGCTTATTCTTATTTATTAGTTAATTTTTATTTATTATTTTATAAGAAAAAAAGAAATTTTTTTATAAATACTCCAATACACTGATAGTATTTAAAAAAAATCTTCTCACCTAGAGATTTCATATGTATCACTACTTGGAGTACCTTTGAATTTCATCGTCGGATAAAAAAATTTTTTTTCTTATTTTTTATTATTTTATAAGAGTTATTTTAAAAATAACAAAATTATCACAAATTTTTGTTGTATATTTCATTATTTATTTTTATTTGTTAATATTACAAAACAACAAAAATTTATTCTAGCAAATTTAAATATTTTAACACGCATAAATATTAATAACAAAATTTAAAATAACAAAAATAATATTTTTAAAAAAATCAAAAAGATCAAAAAATAATTTTTTTACCTGAACCGAACTAGTCAACGATCCGGTCAACACGAAGTCTGGTCTGGTTCGACGGCTCAATTTGGTCTGGGTGATTCAGCAGTTTAGCGAAGTCTGGGTAATTCGACGGTTCAGCGCGATCTGGTTCAGTCTAGTCTGGTTTATCTGGACCGATCAAGGTCAAGGGTGAGTCGGGTTATTGGGTTGATTTTACGGACCTCGGGTCAAGTCATTTTGGCACTTATTAAAACGGCGTTGTTTTGGCCTTTAACAGTTTCTATAAAAGCTTAAAATTTTTTTTTTCAGCTCATTTCTTCCTCTCCCTTCAAAATTTTTTTTCTCTCTTCCTCTTTCTTTTTTTTTTAGACTGGTTTAAGGCCGGTGACCATCCGCAATGACGACGATCATGTTCCTCGTCACCGGTGAACTCCGACCACCGTCGTCGGTGTTGAAAAATTTTTAAATCCCTCAAAAAACTCTTTACAACATCCTAAGTCCAGATTTGAGCTCAGTTCTATGAAAAAAGGCTCCCAATCATGCAGATCTGGCCTGAAAAGATTCAATCAAATTTTTTTTTAATTCAGACCACTTTTTTTTTACTGACTTTGCTTCTTTTTTTTTCAGGTGATCTCAATGCTGGATTCCCCGTTCGAAGGGACTAAGTTGATTGTTTTGTATATTTTTTATTGTTTTTCTAGCAAAAAGCTTTTTTTTTTTTGCAGTGTATCCTTTTTGATAGAACATTTTTTTTTATTCTGAAAATTTTTTTGGCAGTTCTTTTTTTTTCTATCTTTCCCTTTTTTTTTTTGGTTTCGTTAGGAGCTCTATTTATAGAGCTCTGATCGTGCCCTATGCTTGAATGAGTGATAATTGACTAGCATTATATTAGCTATCTATTCAAGATATTTTACCACCTTCAAAAATCCAGCATCAAATTGCTTCTTCACTTCCTCTTTAATTTTCAGTAGCATCTCCGGCTTCATACGCATTAGCTTTTGTTACATCGGTTTGCATTTTGGTTTTAAAGGCAACTTGTGTTTTATAATATTAGTACTGAGGCTTGGCATATCCTGGTAAGACCACGTGACTACATCCACATATTCTCAGAGCAGCTCTTCTAGCTTTTGCCTTTCACTTGGTAAAAAGGATGTACCAACTTTGATCTCGCTTTTGTTTTCACTGTCTCCCAAATTCACTAATTTAGTAATTTTCTAGTGGGGTTCAATTAGCTTATCTTTATGTTCTATTAATTTTAACAAATCAAAAGGCAGTGTGTAGTTATCTGAATCTTCTTAATTATCAAGTTCATCAATATGAATTAAGTTTTTGAAATCAAATTCGAGATTATTGCCATGATTATCTTTATGTTTATTATTTGAGACCCTGTAAATGGTAAGATGAAGAGAATATTAGCATACAAAAATGAAATGGTAGGAAAATGATGGAAAGAGAAAATGAAAAGCAAAATAAAGATGAAAACAATAGAAGAAATGTGGATGTATCTTTTAAGTCTTTTATTAAAACGACAAACATAAAGACACCACAAAAGATCACCTAATGCTCATAAAAGCAATTAGGGATTTAAAGTTTCATAATACATTACTTTTCAGAAGTTTTAAAGATAACAGATAGCTCTACGACTCTTCAATTATTTAGCTCAAATTTGAAAGACAATGGTGCATGAACAGCTCTTCATCTCGTCTTTTCTTTTCTTCATCATCCACCATTTGAATGGTCAACTCAGAAAACTCTTCCACAAATCTTGCATTTAGGGCTTTAGGCAAATTTGGGTAAATATATCCTCCGAATGAAAAGAATCATAGAGGTATAGAATAATTATAGGCCATCATTTTAGCCATCATTTTATTTTTTTCTCATTCACCTTTTTTATTATATCCCCTCTTATTGGCTTATATCCTAACCCGAATCTGTCTTTCTTGTCATATACTGCTGGTGGCTCTATAATTCATTATAGGTTATTTTCTAGTCCAGTTTCAGGTTACCATCCCATTTTAGTGAACTACTTAACGACCATTTTAATAGTCGTAGACAGATGCGGTGAATATAATTTAGATCTTTCAGTCATATAGGTTACATTAGTAATCTCGAAAGATCTATAAGAACATTTTAGTGCTTCATTTACTGATTTCATATAAGAAGTATTTACTGGTTGAGTTACCAGTAAATCTTCTTCTTCTATCACACATGTTAATTTTTTAACACTAATGAATTTAATTTTTTGATGCAATGAAGATGAAACAGCACCCGCCATATGAATCCATGACCTACCCAATAAGCAATTGTATGAGAGAAAGATATCCATAACTTGAAATTTCACGTTGAAAGTGTACAGACCAATTTTTAATGGTATTTTTATGTCTCCCAGCACCTCTCTTCGAGTTTCATCGAAGGCTCAAACTATCATATGATTAGGCTTTATATAAGATCCATCAATAAGGAGTTTTGCCAAAGTATTCATAGACATAACATTGATGGATGAGCCATTATCGATTAAAACCTTAACCATTATATGACTCTTACACTTTACAGTAATGTGA